TTGAGTCAGCTGGCGTGGTTTCGATTGCCCGGTGTAAGTGACAAGGAGTATATTCGCCTCTCCAGCCTCGTGAGTTTTCTCCTGGTTCTCCGGTTTCCTCCCACTACTAAAGACCCCTCAAGCCAATTATTGAAATAAAATTTAACTATATGTTAGTCACGAAATGACCTAGTTTGTGTCGAGTGGACTTTAAACCCCATTTCTTTCTATCTGAATAAAGTGCATCTTGAGCTTTAAACGTTGTTACTTTAACATAGTTTTCTCCCTTTAGCCCGGGTTCTCACCAATGGCACATTATTGTAAAAAATATTATTGATAGCTGAAATAAACGGAGATGGGCGGCAAACCACTACATATGTAATTATTATAATTACTTGTTTCATTAGCCTACTCAATTAACTGCAATAATATGTGTGTAGACTATGCGAGTATTGATATGTTCAACACCAAGATAATATAGTGAGCGCTTCATTAAAGTGATCTCTTCGAAAAGTCACATTTACAAAGTGACCTGTCAGACGAATAGTGAAAATTCACTTTTATTTTAATGTGGATTGGTTAATTATATGTATAGCTACGTATTATACATTCTGAGTTCATATTAATTGGAAAGCGACTTACGGGCTTGTAGTAATTTGTAATCAAATGATTACAAAACCTGCTGAACCTCGGCTGGAGTCAAAGACGTAAGTTACCAGAAATTAAATAGTTTTCCCTTCAGGCCAGTAATTTCCGGTCCAAGCTGCCCTACCACTATTCTATCAAATCATATTGATATCTTACTAAAGCCGTACGTGCCAAATAGAAGGGGGGGGGGGGGGCAAGTGCACATTGGAAAAAATTACGTGAAACATACACGATGCAATTGTCTAGTCCAAGGCCTCGAATACGCATACGCCTTATTACATGTGTATGATTACAATGCGATTTAATATAGCTACTATAATGAATAAACATTCTGGCCATTCAAAAACTTTTACAAATTCTATGATTATCAATTTCAGTTCATCGAAAGACAACTTTAAGAATGCCGTGGGTTGTTTTATTGACCTACTTAGAGGATGCGCACCGGGTAACGAAAACAAACTGGTAGCTACTTCAAGTAATTATAAAGAAGCATATGATCTACTCTGTAGTGACGGACCTTGTAAGTTTAAATTTATCAATAATATGTATTCATTTAGAAGCGACAAGGCACATGAGATTCAAATTCATCTGACTGATTGAGAACTAGATACGAGCGGCTGTTTATGAACGCACTATGATCGTATTATAGACATTATTTACAGATTGTACCAGGACTACAACCCGTTTTACGATTTTCTAGGGCACTTTCCAGAACGTAGTGAAAACAAGTTTGGTGTGACAGGAGCTTGCATTTCAATAGCTGACTGGTAATACTGTTTCAGGGACAAGATAACACACATAGTTTTCTCCCTCATAACTAGCAAATCAGTTACAGGAAGTATATAAAATTCTCAAAATCTAATCTTTTATCAAATTTTCACGATTTTTGGACTGGTGGATGGACGCAAGGAGTAAAGAAATACAAATGAAATGAAATGGGGTATAACGTCCTACTGTAAAGACATATAATCTCTCAACAAAACTGGTTGATATGGTGTTTTATTTTATGATCAGTAGTGGAATACCGCGTTTTATCAGTGAAATAAAAGTGTTATTCTACTGGCTAGCAGTAGTCCATGTTGTTTTTACCTAAAATGATTGTAAAATCATAAAATAAATAGAACATTTGTCGTTTTGTCGTGAATAACATATTTTATTTCATCTCTAAGCAAGAAAACGTTTATATTTTCACTCGTGCTACTGTGACCGTGAGGTCCGTCAGATATTACAAGAGTCTGGAATGGTTCTTCAAATCTTTAATACTGGAAACTTATAATAACAATTATCTACATACACTTACAGGACCGCGGATAACCGACTAGTACCTTATGCTACTAAGTCGGATAGACCTAAATGACTGACGTATCAAGTACAATCACATATTTATATGGAATTACTTCTAATCACTTGGCTAGATCAAGTGTTGACATAAATAAGCACTGATGTAATAATGTACAATATAAGAAATAAAACAATGGTAAATAAAACAATTAATAGATTAATCATACAATTGACATGTTCACCAGACAGGCCATATTGTCAGTTACTTTCTATCTATAACAGTATTTTATAAACAATAAGGGATTATAATAAATTAACATGTCATTAGGATTACATAACATTTCTCCCTTGGCTAGTCACCTTTTAATAGCACACATACAATTAATGTTTTAAAGGAATAGAATAGTTATTGTCCCGAGAGTTTAAATAAATTCAATTTGAAGGCTTTCACTTTTAAAATTAATAATATATTATCTTAAATATTCAAGATTTAAATTATAACATATAACTACTAAAAACCTGCACGGTTATACTACGCATTCGTGAAATTATAAGTTTTCTTGCGTCTCGATGAAATAAAATATGTTATTCACTCTAAAACGACAAATATCCTCTATATAGACTGCGGACGATATTACACGATGGCATCACAAACAGTGAAAAAAAGAGAAGCGGCCAAAAGTATAGATGTATAAATTATGGACATAGACCCTGCTGTCTCACATGCCTCAGGTACTAGTTTGGTAACTATTTTACGATACTTTTCCATGGAGGCTGCTCTACAAGTCGGCTCCACCGGTTCTATATTAACACAGGTCAAATAATATTCAGCCTGCCTGTAAAAAAAATTTGAAAGTAGGAATATGCATGTGATCTATACTTATTATGTCATCATTGATTTCAATTACACGATAACAATTGTTATTTTCACGTATTGACAGAGCACACTAAATATTCTTTTTCGGAGACTATCCGCGATGTGCAGGGTCCTTTAACGCACCATTACTACTAATACAATGACACAATGATAATTTTAATAAAACCAATATCACTGATCGCAATGTGTAGTCAAATATTAAACATGTATGAAAACAAAGTGACAAATACGTGTAATATTGGTATGACCTGACCTTGGCGTTAGACGCTCCCCGCACATCCCAGTTTGTATGTCTGAAGACAAAGTTAAAATAAAAGCTATGGGAAGTGGTATCAGGTGTTAGTATATTATGTGAATCATCTAAGCAGTCCTATCTCATGAGAGATATCCGTCAACGTCGATGAGTTTTGAATACCACCAACCTAGTTTGAGAATTTCATATATTTTAATAAGCGCCACTCGCGTCTCAGAGCTACTCCTCTATGCTCAAGATGCCTCACTTTTGAATAATACTATTGAGATTCGCATATTTGACTAACAATATGATTGACAATCCACTAAGTTTATCATAACTAATTTTCTGCATTGCGTGTGCAAGAATAAAGGTGAAATATATTAGACACATACTTGCATATATGATTTTTCTTGACGTCGTACGTAGCGCTGGTTGAAGGCCCCTGTGGGTTCAGACCGGCTGCAGTAAATTTTCTGCTTAAACAAGATCTTACGTAATTTCCCACACAGTCTCTTTCAGCTGAAAAGTTTATTATCAGAATAAAAATAAATTAACCAGATATAAGAGTAATCAACAATTTAACCAGCAGTTGCCATGTAAGATACTCCCGCAATTTAGCAAGACATGGATCGAGAACAAGCTAAATCCAGGCAATTATAGTCTGAAATGAGCGAATATCTTTGGGATATAAACATATATTTTAAGTTTCATCAAATTCGAACAAAAAGTGAGACCTCTAAAAAGTCAGCAACCTTCGTATTACATACGTTTACACTATTTGCCCACAAGAAGCGGTCATTTTGTCGATTTACCCGTAATTCGAACTCAACCTTCATTACGTTGTAACGGCGATATATTTAAACGGTTTTTAAGTTCGGATAGTAATTGTGACGTCAAGAGGGTCACCAAGCTAAAAATGTGATTTGTCGTACAATCAGGGCCATAATCCAGCAAGTTACGATCCGATATGCACGAATGTCGAAAGGGACCGAGATCGTTGTGATATAAACATACATTAAAAGTTTCATCACAATCGGACAAAAATTCTGAGCTCTAAGAGGTTATGGTCCGATAGATTCCACTTTTCAAAGGAACCCAGATCTTTAGGATATAAACATATATTTTACGTTCCATCAACATGGGATAATAATTGTGACCTCATCACCAGGGTGTAACGATGATATATTTAAATTTTTTTTTAAATCGGTGAAAACTTGTGACTCCTAGAGGGCCCACAAGCTAAAATCGCAATGGTCATCATCCATTAAGTTACGGTCAGATTTCCGCAAATATCATAAGGCACCGAGATCGTTGGGGTATAAACTCTGGCCATTTCTGAAATGATTAGTGAATCATATAATGGCGTTGTATCGGCCTCCTAACCAGTTGGCATTCTATTCGGGCGATCAGTCCCCTTCCACGATTCTACACCTTTCTTAGAAACGAAAAGATAGTGAAAGACTTGTCCCGTGTCCAGATTTAAAGCTTGCCCCAGACTCCAGATGTTGCAAAGTATCACGGTTTCCGCATGTCCTCCCAGGTGCAGTTGTGGAATGGGAGGGGGGGGGGTGAATTAAGCCCAGACAGGTGAGAGTGGAGACATGCAAAAGACACATTAGGGGCCAAATAATTCGTCTAATGAATGGCAGCAGATGTACAGGTGTTTGGCTGGAACAGAGTAGTTCGAACTTGAATAAGTAAACCCTATTTGGGACATGTGATAGAATTTACTACAAATTAGACAATTCAGGACTGCATTGTAATTTAATGTTAATGTGATATGTTACACTACAATTTTTATCAATTTCTTGTAATCTTAAAATTGTTATTTTGGCTTGAATAGATACACGTTTTTAATCTAAAATCAAACGTCGTCTCTATAGTTCATGTATCTCAATCAGTCAGATGAATTTGAATCTCATGTGCCTTGTCACTTCTAAATGAATACATATTATTGATAAAGTTCAACTTACTAGGACCGTCACTACAGAGTAGATCATATGCTTCTGTATAATTACTTGAAGTAGCTACCAGTTTCTTGTCGTTACCCGGTACACATCCTCTAAGTAGGTCAATAAAACAACCCACGGCATTCTTAAAGCTGTCTTTCGATGAACTGAAATTTATTAATCATAGGATTTGTAAAAGTTTTTGAATGTCAGGGATGTTTATTCATTATAGTAGCTATATTAAATCGCATTGTAATCATACACATGTAATAAGGCGTATGCATATTCGAGGCCTTGGACTAGACAATTGCATCTAAAAACGTTATTTTTCGTACAAACAGGGGCCATAATCCATGAAGTTTCGATCCGATACATGCCAATATCGAAAGCAGCCGAGATCTTTTGGAGATAAACCTATATTTCAAGTTTCGTCAAAATCGGATAAGAATTGTGACCTCTAGAGTGTCCACAAACAAATTGTGGACGGACGGACGGACGTCTGGACGGACAGGGGCGACAGCATAATACGTCCACATGAAAATGTGGGCGTATAAAAATGGACTTTAATGCTAATGAAACTGAACATACGTCATGCAATGTGTTGGGGGGGGGGCATTCAGTGTACCGGTACGCCATCTAGATTGTTCGTCTCACCAGGACGTGCATTACCAGACCCCTTTACCACAGTATTAAAATAAGGAGTATCATCTCAACTGACAAAAGACAGTGTTAATATTTTAAGAATTGAAAATAAACACCCGCATATAACAGTTGTGGTTTGAAGGAACAATTCTTGTATTTGTGACAGTGTTCGTACATCGTCTCACCAGGATGTGCATTACCAGACCCCTTTACCACAGTATTAGAATACTGAGTATCATCTCAACTGACAAAAGACAGTGTTAATATTTTAAGAATTGATAATAAACACCCGCATATAACAGTTGTGGTTTGAAGGAACAATTCTTGTATTTGTGACAGTGTTCGTACATCGTCTCACCAGGACGAGCATTACCAGACCCCTTTACCACAGTATTAAAATACGGAGTATCATCTCAACTGACAAAAGACAGTGTTAATATTTTAAGAATTGATAATAAACACCCGCATATAACAGTTGTGGTTTGAAGGAACAATTCTTGTATTTGTGACAGTGTTCGTACATCGTCTCACCAGGACCTGCATTACCAGACCCCTTTACCACAGTATTAAAATACGGAGTATCATCTCAACTGACAAAAGAGAGGGCTAATATTTTAAGAATTGATTAATAAATACCCGCATATTATGGTTGTGGTTTGCCAGAACAATCCTTGTATTTCTGACAATGTTCGTACATCTGCCCTTACTGCCAGACCATTATCTGTATAACATTTATCTATTTTGGACTCAAAGTTTGCACAAGAACTGGTATCCAATTGTCTATTAACAGCTTGACCTGAAAATATATAAATCATTATCATTATAGAGTTTAACCTGACATCCCAATAACTAGAAAACAATTCCAGGAAGAGAAACTACAAAACAATCTGATCTATATCGAATTTACACAATTTATGGACTGATGGATGTAAGCAATGAGTAAAGACACATAACTCCTCTACACAAATGGTTGATATATTGTTATATATAGACAACCATATTTACATGTACGGTTCAGAAATATATTCCGATTTAAAATCATCATAAAGTCTGGACATTCAATCGTATAGAAAAACAGACAAAATAATGTCAAGGAATCGTACGAATACTACATCGGTTATCAATTATGGTATCATTTGGCATGGCTCTAACAAAAAGACGAGGCGAGAAACAGACTCTGGACGATATTACACAATGACATTAGAGAGAGAGAGAAATGGGGTTTAACGTCCACTCGACACAAACTAGGTCATTTCGGGACTAACATATGGTTTAATTTTATTTACATAATTCGCTTGCGCGTAGGGGTCTTTAGCAGTGGGAGGAAACCGAGGATCCGGAGAAAACCCACGAGGGTGGACAGGCGACCCTACTCCTTGCCACGTACAACCGGGGATTCGCAACCACGCCAGTCGACTCAATGACAGACTATACAATGACAGCTAACCATTCAGCCATCCAACCCCCCCAATGACATTAGACAACTAGAAGCGGTCAAAAGTATGGATTGATCGTACCCACAGCCGCGCATGCTTCAGGTACTAGTTTGGTAACTATTTTACGATCCTTTTCCATGGAGGCTGCTCTACAAGCCGGTTCCCCCGGATTTTCGTTCACACAGGTCAAATAATATTCAGCCTGCCTGTAAATAAAAAAAAATATTTGAAAGTTATAACAATATGTATGTAATATCATGTCATCTTTGATTCACGTTCACAGTAACAATTTTATTTTCAAATATTGACAGAGCACACTAAATATTCTTTTACGGAGACTATCTGCGATGTACAGGGTCCTTTAAGGCACCATTACTACAATGGCGCAATGATAATTTTAATAAAACTAATACCACCAATCACAATGTGTTGTCAAATATTTATCAAAGATGAATACACAGTGACCAATAAGTGTAATATTGGTATGACCTGACCTTGGCTTTAGACGCACCACGCACATTCCAGCTCCTATGTCTCAAGACAATAGTAAAATAAAAGCTATGGGAAGTGGTATCAGGTGTTAGTATATTATGTGAATCATCTAAGCAGTCCTATCTCATGAGAGATATCCGTCAACGTCGATGAGTTTTGAATACCACCAACCTAGTTTGAGAATTTCATATATTTTAATAAGCGCCACTCGCGTCTCAGAGCTACTCCTCTATGCTCAAGATGCCTCACTTTTGAATAATACTATTGAGATTCGCATATTTGACTAACAATATGATTGACAATCCACTAAGTTTATCATAACTAATTTTCTGCATTGCGTGTGCATATATGATTTTTCTTGACGTCGTACGTAGCGCTGGTTGAAGGCCCCTGTGGGTTCAGACCGGCTGCAGTAAATTTTCTGCTTAAACAAGATCTTACGTAATTTCCCACACAGTCTCTTTCAGCTGAAAAGTTTATTATCAGAATAAAAATAAATTAACCAGATATAAGAGTAATCAACAATTTAACCAGCAGTTGCCATGTAAGATACTCCCGCAATTTAGCAAGACATGGATCGAGAACAAGCTAAATCCAGGCAATTATAGTCTGAAATGAGCGAATATCTTTGGGATATAAACATATATTTTAAGTTTCATCAAATTCGAACAAAAAGTGAGACCTCTAAAAAGTCAGCAACCTTCGTATTACATACGTTTACACTATTTGCCCACAAGAAGCGGTCATTTTGTCGATTTACCCGTAATTCGAACTCAACCTTCATTACGTTGTAACGGCGATATATTTAAACGGTTTTTAAGTTCGGATAGTAATTGTGACGTCAAGAGGGTCACCAAGCTAAAAATGTGATTTGTCGTACAATCAGGGCCATAATCCAGCAAGTTACGATCCGATATGCACGAATGTCGAAAGGGACCGAGATCGTTGTGATATAAACATACATTAAAAGTTTCATCACAATCGGACAAAAATTCTGAGCTCTAAGAGGTTATGGTCCGATAGATTCCACTTTTCAAAGGAACCCAGATCTTTAGGATATAAACATATATTTTACGTTCCATCAACATGGGATAATAATTGTGACCTCATCACCAGGGTGTAACGATGATATATTTAAATTTTTTTTTAAATCGGTGAAAACTTGTGACTCCTAGAGGGCCCACAAGCTAAAATCGCAATGGTCATCATCCATTAAGTTACGGTCAGATTTCCGCAAATATCATAAGGCACCGAGATCGTTGGGGTATAAACTCTGGCCATTTCTGAAATGATTAGTGAATCATATAATGGCGTTGTATCGGCCTCCTAACCAGTTGGCATTCTATTCGGGCGATCAGTCCCCTTCCACGATTCTACACCTTTCTTAGAAACGAAAAGATAGTGAAAGACTTGTCCCGTGTCCAGATTTAAAGCTTGCCCCAGACTCCAGATGTTGCAAAGTATCACGGTTTCCGCATGTCCTCCCAGGTGCAGTTGTGGAATGGGAGGGGGGGGGGTGAATTAAGCCCAGACAGGTGAGAGTGGAGACATGCAAAAGACACATTAGGGGCCAAATAATTCGTCTAATGAATGGCAGCAGATGTACAGGTGTTTGGCTGGAACAGAGTAGTTCGAACTTGAATAAGTAAACCCTATTTGGGACATGTGATAGAATTTACTACAAATTAGACAATTCAGGACTGCATTGTAATTTAATGTTAATGTGATATGTTACACTACAATTTTTATCAATTTCTTGTAATCTTAAAATTGTTATTTTGGCTTGAATAGATACACGTTTTTAATCTAAAATCAAACGTCGTCTCTATAGTTCATGTATCTCAATCAGTCAGATGAATTTGAATCTCATGTGCCTTGTCACTTCTAAATGAATACATATTATTGATAAAGTTCAACTTACTAGGACCGTCACTACAGAGTAGATCATATGCTTCTGTATAATTACTTGAAGTAGCTACCAGTTTCTTGTCGTTACCCGGTACACATCCTCTAAGTAGGTCAATAAAACAACCCACGGCATTCTTAAAGCTGTCTTTCGATGAACTGAAATTTATTAATCATAGGATTTGTAAAAGTTTTTGAATGTCAGGGATGTTTATTCATTATAGTAGCTATATTAAATCGCATTGTAATCATACACATGTAATAAGGCGTATGCATATTCGAGGCCTTGGACTAGACAATTGCATCTAAAAACGTTATTTTTCGTACAAACAGGGGCCATAATCCATGAAGTTTCGATCCGATACATGCCAATATCGAAAGCAGCCGAGATCTTTTGGAGATAAACCTATATTTCAAGTTTCGTCAAAATCGGATAAGAATTGTGACCTCTAGAGTGTCCACAAACAAATTGTGGACGGACGGACGGACGTCTGGACGGACAGGGGCGACAGCATAATACGTCCACTGAGTCTATAAATATACTGTCTATCGACACAGAAGATCAAAATAGCAATAAAACATTTTAAAACACCTGTATTTGAACGTTTTGTAAGAGTACCATATTCTGAAATCTGTCCTATTTCTTAAAATTCTCAGCGAGTGAGTTATTTTTCTTCGCTCGCAGTGGGACGACCGATCATTCCTCTTGCATAACAATTGGCATCGTTGTAAAGCGGGGCATCCCTAGTTTATAGATATGATCAAAATATTGTCGATGAATTGATTTTGAACGGATATAATCGAGTTTTAAAACTCTTCAAAAATATAAATAAACTCCGCCTGTTGCCATGCTGTCCACACAACTCCTTTGCTGATTGGTCCAGACACCGCGTGCAAGACATTATCGATAAATATTTGGTTTTGGCAATGTTTTTGGGTACCTACATGCGATTCACTCTGATAAGTGGCAGAAAAAAAAATTAATTCTGATCGTATTGATTGCCGTTGAGTGTTAATCGAAACCACGTGGCTGATGATGTAAATTAATCGACAAGCGGGTGTGTGTCATTGAGTAATACTATTACTAATCAACTGTCACGGGTCAATGATAAAGCCGTCGACAACTCATTATTTACTCCGAATAATTAATCCAAGTGGTGATTGTTTGATATCTCATATCATCTTTAAAAAAAATAATCTATAGGCCTTAAATGGATATAATCAAAATGGCCAAAAATGATCTTTTCGAAGAGAATTTTATTGATAGCTGAATTCCGTTAACCGTCTCTTCTTTATACGGCATGCAAAGTAAGGAATGCATTTAGGATATTATTGTTTAAAATTATCTAATCACAATGGGTCGAAAAAATGAGAACGACCAACGAACCGAAATGGGACGATTCTCGAGTCTGCCATTGAGTATCCTCTGAATAATGTTGATATTTACATCAAAGCCAAAATGCACGAAAGTAATCGTAAACATTGACTATGAAATTGACATTTCTATAGGGAATCATATTTTGATAACGTCACGGTACCTGAAAATAATAATAGACCTATCGTACACGCAAAATCTTATTTTAATTCACGTGTTAAATGAACACGAGGGTAGCTGTTGCGGCTTCTTTGATGATTATCCAGTCAATAATCTTAATCTCCCGACCACTAGCTGGCACTAAGGTGCTAATTAATTGATGAGTTAATCTCACTAAAATAATATTATATACAACAGACTACTAATGTATAGATTGTTCTTCAGTATAACACTATCATGTGAATATTATGCCGTATGTGTTGTGGATGTTTCGTTACGAAAGGAGTGCATTTAATACGATTTTCGTCGTCAGCACCCTTGAAATCCTAAATAAAAAACATATTAAACGGCAAAATATAGCAAATAAATTGCGGAAATAGTCGGATCAAATTTTTACTACGATTTTCGTCTTCAGCACCCCTGAAAACCCATGGAAAGATATATTCAACGACAAAACAGCAGATAAATGGCCTGGTTGCTATGGGATTTTGTTTTGGAACTTACCAAATCTTTGACTTGCCTTTTCTCAAAATTTACTTTTGTGAGTTGGGTAGCTTCTAATGGACACAGCTCAGTCAATTTTTGCCCAATTCAAACAAACTATACATCAAATAACTCAATTTTCAAAATTTCCTCATTGTGACTCAGCATGCTGTTAGGGGTCACAAATATGTTTTAAAGGGCATTATTGATTTGTACCTTTTAAGAAAAGAAAAAAATATGTTGGTTTTTTTTGTATTTATTTTAAAGTATACTTAAATAATAGTTCTTTTGTATAATGATTTTCAAATATAAACCGACATTACCGAATTGATCTAAATCGGATAATAAATTGTGACCTCTAGTGTGTTCGGAAGCTAAAAAACGTTATCTGTCGTACAATCAGGGACCACAATCCACGAAGTTCCGGTCCGATACATGCCAACATGTGGACCAACATGTTTTAAAGTATTATTGAGTCTATATTCATTTTGAAGTTTTTGTTTAGAATGTAGTACTAGTGGTTCTCTGAATTCAAAGTTGTTTTTCGTTTGGTGACCAAATCTATAGTTTATGTTTATTCTTCAAAATATGAGACAATTGTTAGTCACAAATTTTCTCACGTTCTCAAGAATCATATCTGGTTTGATATTGCTGTTATGTCGGCACAACAAAATACATCCAATCACATTTGGTGCAGTTTCATAATCAAGAGATATGTTTATGACCACGAAAAGGGTAAATGACCATCCTGTCATTAACCTATAGGTCATGGTGGATAAGTAGGTAAGACGCTGGCTCGCTAGCCTCGAGGTCGCGTGTTCGATCCCTCTCATTTCGGGACTAACATATGGTTTTAATTTTATTTCAATGATTCGCTTGCGTGTTGGGGTCTTTAGCAGTGGGAGGAAACCGGAGGACCCGGAGAAAACCCCACGAGGGAAAAATGTCTATTTATAACTGCGCTTTAATGGATCCGACCTCTGCAAAAAGGTTTTTTCCTGCTTTGGGAGTAAGCTAGATTATTTTCAAATTTATTCGTATATTTTGGCATAGCGGCAGGTATATATCCCAGGTCTATAGTTTTATTGAACACAATTTACCGCACATAGCCAATAAGAAGAAATTACGGACCATAAGAAGAAATTTCCGGCAATAAGTTTAATCTGTTAAAGGGGGGGGGGGGGGGTAACTTCATTTCTGGGATAAGACTTTGTTTCAGACCTCTAAATAAAAAAATCTAAATTAGCTTTTTTCATATTTTGGGTCTAATTTTCTATATTTTCCAATTTCTTCGTATATTTTTGCATGGCGCCAGGTATAAATTTCAGGTCTATATTTCTATTGACCATAATTTACCGCACATAGACAATAAAGAGAAATTACGAACGATAAGAAGAAATTACAGCAATTGATTTAACGGGTTAAAGGGAGGTAACTCTATTTTAGGATTCAGACCTGGGTCTAGCTAGACCTCTGCAATTAGTTTTTTTTTTCCTGTTTTGGGTCTAAACTTGGAACACTCCATAATTGTTTTGCTTTATTGTAAAAAAATCTTGTAAACATCCGTCTATACCTTTATTTTTTGCTAGGAATCCCGAGGAGCGGCCACCAGAATATAATACATATACGTAAACCCACTTACATGGACCAGTTTCGCAGTAAAACAACTATGTGGTATAGGAGAAGAGTGAATAGAAACAATTGTAGATTTCATTTACATTACTTCGAAACTGTTATTTAAATATCGAATGCAATAGGGTTTAACTCTTACTGTTCTGCCCCAAACGGGTCAATAGAAATTGTGTTCATCGCTATGCAACACTAACACTTAAAGGGACATTAGGTAAGATTAGATAAAAAGCTGACAGTTCTCGCTACAATCGTTAAAATATAGATAATGAAAGGAGAAAATGTTGAAAATTTCAGACAAATTTCTTCACTCTGAAACTAGATATTAGCGATTCAATTTTAAGCTAGCCTCATTACTACCGTTGTTACGATAATAAAGTCTCGATTATCCATTTTTACGGTTATTGCATGTATTCAAATCCAGTAAATATCGCAGGCTAACGATGGCATCGACGGTTGATTATGGTCTTGATAACTAATTAATAATTTAGATAACATTTAAGGCCTAAAGAAAGACCTGCAGAAGACAGATTTAGCTCTTGCATAATGCATGTTTAATTGGCAATGCATGGTTTACTGGTGATCGAATGAATTTAAATCGCCAAGAAGCCAACTATCAATGGAAAGGGCAAGGTAATATTTGCTAAGAAGTCGAACTGCACTCCACCAATTGCCTAACTGTACCAAATACGATTGTGGTGAGTATAGATGGGTAAAACATTGAAAGGAATTTATTGGCGGACATGCGTGATGATATTTTCAACATTAAAAATGTTGGGGTACAAAAAACGAACGGTTCTTGTAAGTAAGATTACTTTAATATAAAATCACATAAAATTCAAGATAGAAAATAGAAAAGATTACATAAAATATTATTTAAAAAGAACAATAAACGTTAAATAGAAAAGTACAACAAAATTGATACAATGTAGATTTGCAGTAACGGAAAACACACACGGTCGCGTATACAACGATAATCAATATTATATGGGATAATTTAGAAGAATATACCAATGGAATAACTTTCAGTGTTCCATGAACCGCTCTAGAGTGTGTATCAGACTAACGAACGTAGTGGTTTAGTTAGGTGGATTTGTGATCATGGGCCGGTTGCTCAAAGTTCCGTTATCTTTTAACGATCCGTTAACATGGAGTTAACTTTAACTTTAACGGAGAGAAAGGTTGGTGCTGGAAGCCCCGTTAACTTTAACGTGTAGTTAACTTGGCGTTATATTTAACGGAGGTGTTGAGTTCCGTTATCTGTTTAATGATGGCATTAGTTGCTAAAATTTCTAAAGGCAAACATAAAGTATTCTATAGCTTTTTATAGAGTTTTCTGTAGTAAATTCTACAGTTATCTTTTTGTCCTTAATCAAGTTTTGTGAACAGGCTGCACAGTAGTCTCACTGTCTTCAGTTTCTTGTTAATATCAACTTCTATGAAGTTGTTATACATGTACATTGAATTTAAAAATTTAAAATTCAGCCAATGAACAAACAGTATTCTCTTGGATTAACTTTAATGATTCTGTTAGCTAACGGATAATGAAAGTGACTTTCCAGCAACAGAAATTTAACGGAACGTTAACAAACGACAAGTTACAAAGATAACGATCCGTTAGAGTTTAACGGAGCGTTAAAATAACTTAATTTTGAGCAACCGGCCCCTGGAAGTTACGGAATACAATAATACTGTAAAATATAAACGTCCGCCAGAAGCTTTAGTTAAGGGATGCTTCGTGAGCAAAATTTGTGCTTTATTCCCTCAACCGCTCTGATAATTGGAATATGTACAGAGTGTGAATGGCAGGAGACGGAATTCGATGTGTTATAGTGTTCATTATTGTTGTAGGCTAATTATTCGATGCGTAATAGTGTTCATTACTGTGGTAGGCTAATTATTCGATATGTAATAGTGTTCATTATTGTGGTAGACTAATTAAATGGCAGATACTATTAAAATTGCAAATCACAATTAATTATACTGGCATAGTCACTAATCATGGGTGATTTAGAAATCCTTCTTTTAATTGTTCAACACATGCTTCCTTACAACTAGCACAACAATTCCAGGAAGTAAAAACAAACCTTAATTACATCTGATCTTTATTGAATTTAAACTGTTTGTGAACTGATAGATGGGCGCAATGAGTAAAGACATAATTCCAAAACAAAAATGGCTAATATGTTGATATAACCTGCAGAGAACCATATTTACTTGAGCAGTTAAAAAATATCCGATTTAAAATCATCATGAATTCTGAACAATCAATCGTATAGAGGATGTTAACGGATCATACGCATATAACAGACAACATACTAAATATATAATTAAGAGAATGTAACAAAAATACAAGAATAGAAACAGACTGTGGACAATATTATACAATGACATTACAGACAGCGACAAAAAGAGAAGCGGCCAAAAGTAGGGATGTGTAAATTATGGACATAGCCCCGCATGCTTCAGGTGATAGTTTGGTAACTATTTTACGGTCCTTTTCTATGGAGGTTGCTCTACACTTCGGTTCCACTGGTGTTTTGTTTACACAGGTCAAATAATATTCCGCCTGCCTGTAAATAATAAAAAAAAATATTTGAAATCTACGTATAATTTATACCTATGCCATCTTTCATTTCACTTTTAATTTCAATTATTGACAGCGCGCACAAAGTATTACTTTTCGGAGACTATCCGCTATCGTCGGGTCACAACCCCCAAATCCGTGACCATTTCTCGGGGAACAAGGTTTGACGATGGTTTCTGATAGAACGGACCCTAGTGAAGATATTTGTAATTTTCTACCTCTGAAATCTACATGCTTACTCCAGGAGAGCCTAAAATCCACAATGACGACCAAAATTGATCAGAAATTTACATTTACAAACGTTGATTTTAGTGGTCACCAGAACCATTTTGGACAATTTCCGGTTCATCTCACTAATGGTTGATCCAATATGGCTGTCATTTCCGGGGTTGTGGGGGCGAGGAGCATGAGTATGTCATTTCCAAGCTGATAGAAATAATATGAAAGGAAAGACCTACACATGTAATAATAACCATAATTTGTTCCAGATATCAATGAATATTTTTCTTCATATATTGCAGCTGTCATAAATTATAATGGAATATATAACAACGTATTCCGCAGAATACATGCATCAAGAGTTATCACTGAGACATAGGGCGGGTTTGGTGGCCGAATGGTTAGAGCGTACGCGTTGTATCATAAGGTTGACCATTGAGCCAACTGGCGTGGTTTGCAATCCCCGGTTGTACGTGACAAGGAGTAGGGTCGCCTGTTGGGTTTTCTCCGGCTCCTCCCACTGCTAAAGACCCCTACGCGCAAGCGAATTATTGAAATAAAATTGAAACAAATGTTAGTCCCGAAATGACCTAGTTTGTGTCGAGTGGACATTAAACCCCATTTCTCTCTCTCTGTCTGAGACATAGGGCATCGGGAGTGTATCATATATATACTATCCAGTCATGCCCAAGAGACCAGTGTAGATTCTGGAGTTTGTAATGCTGCACAATGTAGGATTGATAGTTTGACATTTGCCATAAACTACCACGCTCTTGTGGCAAACGCTTTATATACAATATAAATCGCATGCTTCCATGTCACTGAATAGGTTTTTTTTCTCCAATATTAGTGGTGGCTCCCAAATTAGGGCATTTATAAATGATAAAGTTAATTTCGTTTCGTTTTTTATACTTTCGATGGCCTTTACTACATGCAGATCTGACCAGTTGAAATGCGCTGATCATTGTAATAGGGGGTCACGTCAGAGGTCACACGAGCGCGGCTTGACCTATGACATCAGACATTGATTAATCAATCAACGTTGACGTTTCTATTGGTTTACTCACAGTTCCGTGCATAGCACACCAAGAACTCGCCGTAACAAGGTCCGTTTCATTGGCTAATTCCTCACATCAACTAGAACGCCTGTTATATAACAACCCTTGCAGGTCCTAGTGTAGTAAAGACAAGTGAAACGAAATTTTGAACTATAAAATCGAAACGAAATAGGATCTGTGTTTTAATTAGATTGGATAAATAGTGGTATGAACGTTACTTATAGCTTGCGGTTGTTGAGATTTCGTCCAATGGAATTGCTCGATCCCAGTTTTTGGTGAAGCAAAAGCAAATTTTGCCCTCTCGTGAACCCTTTAATGGGTTTCAACAAAATTTGGTAGGTATGTTGATTGAGTAGTGCTTGTCCTGATTCGTTCATGCCCAGGCATCCATTTCATGGGGAATCCAATTAATAAAGGGTGAAATTGAAATTAAATTTATTTTATAAAAAGAAGCGGATTTTCTATATAAAATATATCTCCTCTTTGACCCTTAAATGTGTTGGGAGTTCAGTGCCTATATCCTTTTAAAAGACCATGAATGCCACAATTCTGATACGCTAAAAAAACCTATTCGGTGGCTTGGAAACATACAATTTGTAGTGTGTACTATGAATACACCACTAGATGGCGATAGTTTTATGCAAATCGTCAAAAGAGCTAACTATCAACCCTAGATTATATTCCAGAATCCAACATCCCCTCTTTGGAATGGCTGTAAAGTAGTGAAAAGGACGTGTTGGTCTATATGATACACATCCGATGTGCTTAGTTTTTAAAACAACTTCTTAGTCGATACCTCCCAAAATAACAATACTTATCAATAGATGACTCAACAAAATACTCAGAATCATTGGCATAGTCCAGGGGTGGAAGTCCATCGCCACCACGTCTATGTTACTCCCCGGTCCGAGCTACTCCTATACACCAACCTGAACAGACAGGCAGGGAGACAAACAAACAAATATTAGTATAGATTGGAATATAATGTTATTATGATAACAGAAACATATACAGGATGAGATTCATGGATATCTGGAACAATTTATGATTGTTATTATAACACGTGTAGGTCTGTAGACCGCTTAATTTTAGTATGATACCTCATTTCAAATTAGTTTTATCAGCTTGGAAATGGCATATTCGCGTTTCTCGTCCCCACAACCCCTGGAAAGACATATATCACTCGTCTTATGTTGCTTTGGTATTAAAAGAATACTTTTCGAGCCAATTTATGTTGCCATTTTGGCGGTCACATTGGATCAACCCTTTGTGAAGTGAATCTGAAACTGTCCAAAACGAATCGAGTGACCACAAAAACCTATAAATGATATACTAGACGGATCATTTCGTCAACACTGTTGGCCAAGGGTCAATTTCAGGCAGTTTTGGGCCATTTGGCCGCCATCTTGGATTTTCGGCTCCCCTGAAGTTAACCTTCTATCAGAAACCATCGTTAAACCCTGTTCCACGAGAAATTGTCGCGGATCTGGGGTTGTGACCCGAGTACTATGTACACGGTCCTTTAAGGCACTATTACAATGACACAATAATAATTGAATTAAAACTAATATCACTGATGCCAGATCAGAGTGAACAGTCAAATATTTAATGTACACGAATACCAAATGATAAATAAGTGTAATATCGAGTAGGGTGACTATATGGTATGACCTCGCCTGGCTTTAGACGCCTCGCCCTCTTACCAGCTCGTATGTTTGAAGACAATGGTAAAACAAACGACATGGGGAGTGCTATCAGATGCTAGTGAATTTAGTAATCCGTCCTGTCCCACGCAAGATATCAATCGACCACTTATACCTACATGGGCAGTAGATAGCCAGTTTGAAGTCGTGGATATATTCTGTTTGAGAATTTCATAATTTTTTTTTTTACTAAGCGTCTCTCGCATCACAGCAGAGACTTAAGATTACTCACATGTGTAACTTCTCTATGCACGAGATGCCCCATAGTTGAGGTAATAGTAGTAATACTATTTAGATTCGCGTATTTGAGAAACAATATCATTGACATCCCCCCCTTGTCAGTGATGCAGGACGGAGGGCCTGACAAAGACAGTTGTCTAGTCCTTCGGATAGGAGGAACAACCGAGGTCCCGTGTACACATTGGCATGCACGTAAAAGATCCCTTGAGAGTTGGAATTCGATATAAGAGTAGGCCATAGTGCCGCTGTCCGAGCAAAATTTCCCTCATAGCCCTATGTATGGCGTATGCCCGTCTCCATTAGCCCGGTTCGAAGTAGGACGTTAAACCGCATCACATTTCATTTGATTGACATTCCACTATGTTTATTATAATAGTCACTTACTTGCACATCTGACTCTTTTTGAGGTCGTAAGTGTCGCTGGTGTATGGCCCTCGTGGATCGAGGCCGTCAGCAGTCAATAAACTGCCTAAACAATTTGTTACGTATTGTCCAACACAGGTTCTATCGGCTGAAAAGTTTTAACATCAGAATAAAGATAAGTGAACCAGATAGAAGCCCAATAATCCATTTAAAAATTGAACACGTCGATGTAATCTGAACAATTTTGAAATGGTTATTGATTCACTCAGCGACCCCGCCTTTCGCTATTACTGAGAATTAGTTAAAGATCTCAGATCGCCAGATAGTTAACACCACATTCTTACCAGAGTGCTGATGTAATAAAGGGGTGCTACCCTTTATATGGAACAAATGTACTTTTTCTATCTATCTAAATGGTATTATCACTCCCATAAATTCTATTACGTATCTATATAAATACAAGGTTTGCGAGTTGTTTGAAGATATTATTTTATTAACTTCTGTGGCACAGGATAGTGTTCCACTGACGAGTTGGAAACCTGTGTCTAGTATAATGCCACATCTCCAATTTGGTCTCACGAATCAGGATAGTCTTAGATCGGTCATTTTGTGTATGTACTGTATTTCACAAGTTATACAAATCTGTCAGTCAATTCTTACCAATACAAAATTTGCACTATTTCTCCGAATCAACCCAGAACATAACTAATATCGTTAAATCACTGCTAATTAAAATATGAACCCAGAACTGACTTCTAGCATAAATAATGTCATTTGCCTTGTCAATGCTAATCAACATATGAATATATGTTGCTGATCAAGTTCAACTTACTAGGTCCGTCACTACAGAGTAGATCATATGCTGCTTTATAATTACTTGAAGTAGCTACCAATTTCTTCTCGTTATCCGATATACATCTTCTAAGTAGGTCAATAAAACAACCCACGGCATTCTTAAATTTTTCTTTCAATGAACTGAAATTGATAATCATAGGATTTGCAATAATACAGCAGTTGTAATAAGGAGTTTGCGCTTTGGAAGTGTTGGGCTATATAATAGCATCGTGTGTGTTTAAATTAGTAATTTAAACGAATAAACGCTTTATGAAAAACTGCCATTAATAATATCCCCCGATAGGGTGACTGCAAATTGGTAATTCAATCCCCTTGTGATCGCCAATAATGCGCAATCGTTAAAGTGTTTTTCTATCGGACCATTCCCCGGATTCTGGTTATTCTAAATCCCAAAATAATCTTCAGCACCATTATGGCACAATAGTTTACCATTCCTTGTTGAAAAAAACCCCAAGACAATTACTTTCAGTTTCAGTTTCTAAAATATGAAAACAACGATAGCGAGTGCTAATGCTATTAGTTAATAGAATATGCATCCAAGCACTTATTCCAAAATTTTATGTACCAACGTCCCGCGTTCCCCCTTAAAAGCTGTTATATTTGCACAAGTAGGTGGAACGCATTGTACTTCAACATTTGAAACTTAACAGGCCTATTTGACTGTAGAAAATATCCTCTCAACACTGGATGGTGGATTAGGCGTGGAAGGACAGCATTTTACTCCACACAAATCGAAAAAGAAACTAATGCAGCTTGGTTCGATGATACATATATCAAACAATATCATACCCAAATTCGGCCCGGCGAAATATCGAAATTTTCTCACAGCGATATCCCGTAACTAGTACGTTTAAGATCCCATAAATGTATTAAAGACCTATATAAAAATGATGTATAAATTTATAATGACGTTATTTTGGTGTCATATTCCAATTATGACGTCAGTTCATTGCTTTTCCTCAAAGGACACGTGCCCTATTTGTAAGGAAACTCTTGTGAATAGTAGAAAAGCTGTTAACCTGTTACATTGCAGGCTGCTGGGGCAGATACTGTGAACGAAGTCAGTTTCAATCGAGGGCTTAACATCAATGTGACATCTGGGACTGTAGTGGGTGAACGATGTAGACGTTATTTTACGAACACGATGATAGACAGAACTATACCGAAAACTGAAGGTGCATGTTGAGCGACGGTCGTTCTGGGAAGAATCGCTGCTATTGGTAATGATTTAAATCCAGCTGATGTTGTTTACCATCAAGTTTGTAAAGCCAATTTCCACACAGGTAAACAGCCACCAGCAAAATTTGACATCAAGCAAATCAAACTGGAGACTAGGGTTGGCAGGCATAAGAATATTTAGACAGAAAGCGCTTTCATAGCTGTCGCTAATAACTTGATTAATGAGGAGGAACAAAAAACAATCACAGACTAATGCAAAGAGATGGAAGAGTTGTGTCAAACACAGTACAGTAACTATATAAAACGTTCAGGGAAAGGTAAATGAAGCAGCAGCCTCAAATTTACAGACCTATCACGAAAACTCCAAGAATTCGAGTGACCAAGAGGAAGAAAAGGATCGAAGCCCTCATCAAAAGTGAGATGATTGATAAGTACAAATCGTTTTCTAAAGACTTTAATCCCGATCTAAATGACCTGAAGTCTGTGGACGGCATGTTGCATTTCTTGCTAGATATTTTCTGAGAGAGAGAGAGAGAGATGGGGTTTAACGTCCACTCGACACAAACTAGGTAATTTCCGTACTAACATATGGTTCAATTTTATACAACCAGTAAATCTAAACCACGCCAGTTGACTCAATGACAGACCTTGTGATACAACGTCGTCCGCTAACCATTCGGCCTTCCCACCCCCCAGATTCTCTGAAGCTCCTTGTTGGAAAGTCAACAGGATTGAACATGGCTACGATTGGGCAGTCTTTAGTGCAGGTTGCAAGACCAGGGGCGCTGTTGGCTCCTTTGCAATTGGGGTTAGCGGTTCAGCTACACCACACGTTCGGTTCAAAATTCCCCGTCATTACGTTACATAACCAAGGATTGTGTTCGTCGTATGCTGAAGCACTTAACTTGAAATCATGCACAGCGGCATAAACACCAATAGTAGCTGGTATTAGGATAAATCGGTTTGTTAAAGGCGCTCAATTTTCGTCAAAATCACTGAGATATCAATAAGGTTAGGGCCCGTGATTTTTGGTGAGATTGTGCGCTAGGGAAACCATTAGGGCTAGGTCCAGGGTTAGGGTAGGGATTAGCGCTATAGCCTTGTTTACATCTCGTGACCTTTGAACAAACTTGAAGTTGGACCTATGAAATAAATGTTATCCAATGGTCATTTTCGCCAGTACGTGTGTGATAATACCGACAGGAATCCATGGATCTTAGATGGTACAACTTCTCTACATACTATGGGGATGATGGAGGCGATTATTCCTTCTTTTCGGTCCAAGGTGCTGATTCGTAGAGATGAACAAAATGTTATCAGTCGATGTATTCCGCTACTACATTCCAAGCAAAAATAAGCTCATGCTGTACTGCGAACTATCAACGTGGAGAACCAAGTAACAAAACTGATCCTTAAACCCGAATGCACCGGGATAGTCAGGTGTGATGCAACCCGTCAGTGGAAGAACTCATGCCAGAAACGCAACTGCAAGGTTTCTACCAATGACAGACTTTAATCCCACGAATATGCGACGTGCAATTATACTCGACCTTATCATCCATCACTCTCGAGTTCAAATATCACAACTGCACACCTGTTATTACATTTGACCAACCTTAATGACTGAAAGCGAGGACATAAGTTTGTAAAGAACCTGACAGCAGCGAACTAAAACACGTCATTTTGGACTTCGGTGGCTTTCATACTATGATGAGCTACTTTGGTTTCGGACATGTTTTGAAAAATACCGGTCTTCACGAAGACCTTGAAGTGATATAATATGGTGAAAATGCTGTTACCTATATTCTGAACGGGAAATCATATGCTCGTGTGCTTCTCGAGGACAATTTCTGGTCGAGTCAGTTCTTACTCGGCTACTCATTCATGAAATTTACGATTCACTCTTGTCAAGCGACGATCAACAGCCGATGATGAAAAAAACTCTTCTCGACTCCGATTTACAAGTACCGGTGAAATTGTTTGATCAAATGGTGGACAATGATATTTCATCCTGTACCGTACTTGACAATTAAGTTATGTCTAGAATAGCATAAGGACTGGAGAAAACCAAGAGAGATTTGGCTACTTCTGAACTTTGGCTTCAGTACATGACAATGGCGGGCATACTACGCGACTTTATTCTATTCGCTCAAAGAGGACAGTGATTACAATCACTACGCAAAGAGTGTTCAAATATATCTGCATGAACTGGAAGAACTCGAAGCTACGATTCCCCGTATGTACGACATGTTTAGTGTTGGCCTTTTCGTAATCCACAGGAGTGACCGGTATTGGCCTGGTTTATCGAAAGGCCGTTATTGAACAGACGACCAAGAGAGTAATGAAAGTAAATGGCGGACTGGTTCATGGTCGAGGGGTGGTGAACGAAAACCCAAATGTTGTTGTCTGTGTGCGCGACATACAATGAATACATTTAAGAACAGTGCAATCGCAGTTTCTCTACCAGCGAACAGCACAAGAGCTCGCTTCCGCGAGAGTGAAACGTAATAAATAACAAAGACACAATGAATGGTTTCAATTTTTTGTACGAGAACAATCCCCTTGCACGAACAAAGGACCTGCGTAGCATTACTAGTGGTCTCACAGCAGGTCACACCGTAAACGTGCACAGGTGGGAGAGAATATTTTCGAGAAGATGTACGGTACAGATACGTTCCAGTATTCATTTTCCAGAAAGGATACTGCTGTGCAACTCGGCCAAGATAAACAGGTCCGCATCGGTGATGAAGAATGTAGTATCGACCTACAACTACTTGCTGTCGGGAATGCTCACACAGATGAACACCATATAGATCACCTTCTGCAATATGAATGGTCAGATTACCCGACGGCATTATTCAACGACTGTGGAATGATGAGGAAAGCAATAAAATCACAGCTGGTGGATATCACATGACAAATGTACCCAAGCTTTGAACAAACAAACACAGAAGCGACATTTATCGTGTCTGATCTCCATCAAATCCAATGGAAAAGGGGGGGGGGGGTCGTTTGATAGTACAGTATATGTAAGCGCTACCTCGACTGTTTGACACAAAATGTCCAGTCCAGTTGTTTTCTTCGATAAGTACGGGAATGGACCTTTGACCAAAGACTGTGCTCATCAAAGTAGAGCTAGTGGTATAGTTGGTTACAAAAACGACGAATCAGAGGTTCCTTTGCAATGAAACAAACAAAAACAATTTCATATTTCTGAAACATCTCGAATCAAGGACAAGAAGCGCAAGTGGAGATACAGATCGTCTGGTTTCCCAGACAGGTGTTGATTTGAGCGCTGTCGGTCCTACTGTTGTGATTGGCTAGTTATACTGTGTCGCAAATCGATAGCGGGACGGTTGTTCTTGCGAACAGGAAGGAGAAACGCCAGACATAAACTGTGGGGCATTTAACATTTATGCGAGGCCCTTGGTGAAAATATTTGTTGAAGGCTACCCTTCATCCGCACAGTTACTGGATGTGATACTACATCTCGTTTGTTGGGCATCAGTAGAGCAATATTTGGGGAACGAGCGATTGTTTTTTGTGCTGAAACATGTTCAGACCAGAGTCAAATTGTTGAAGCTTGTGAAAAAGCTCTGGTCAGTCTTTAAGGGGGCAAACCCAATTAGGGTCTGGACACATTGCGACTGCGAAAGTTCAAGGTGAAAGCGGTGACGGGCAATTTCGTTGATGAAATAAGGCTTTGTCCAGGACGTCTGATTCTGCAAAATGTCATTTCTTACGCGTATTTTTACAAGTACATGTACGATGCTAGATGGCGGACGATAATATAGACTGAATCCCACGGACTGGGTTTTGGAATTACGCGGCGAAACTCTATGGCCACGCAGCATCTACTAAAAGTAGTTCGCTGTACATGTAAGGTGGAGTGCGTCGATATGTATGGAGCCGAATCATTGGCATATTAAGAGGAAATATAATAGTTAAAACTGACAAATTATCAAAAATGGCCATTTTCGAGATTTCCTACTTGCAAATATCACATAACACAGAATGATTATTGATTATATTAGTATTAAAAGAAACCAAAGGATCTAGTTATGATTTTTCATTTTTCACTTTCTACTTTTCGCCTTTGCAAATTCACTGTAACTTTTTCATCTTTGCATTCTCCATCACCAAAATTTCTCCACACGAACGGATAGGGGACGTGGTTCTGGGTTTAGCCGAAGTTGGCGTCATAAGACGACAGTATTTATCGTTTCGGCTAAAATTACTACTCCATTGGGTTATTCATAACTCTTTAAGAATTGTCCAATTTTATTTATTATTTTTGGAGAAAAAATGAAATACGCTCGTTGTCATGTCAGACAACTTTTTGTTTCATTAGTTATATCATCGAACCTTGAGGTTGTCTCATTGTCTTAATAGATCGGATAATCTTTGACAGCACATCGGCATGGATGTGAGCGAATTGCTAGCGTTATATCCGAAAGGGGTGTCTGGCTGCCTTAATCAATTATGAAAAGTTTTGCAGTTATTAGACGATGTAATAAATTGTAAACAAGACAATTAGAACATGTAGAGAGGATCATGTTTCGTCAAGAAGAGTTGATCCCCCAAAGTTATTTATTTCATAAGAACAATATTTAGTTGTTAAAGATATGTAATTTGTGGAAAAAAATATATCCTTGAAAAGAGATACGAAATCTTGTTATCACTGGGCGGGTTTCCTAGAATATTTTAATTTACCTTTCCAATCGATCATGATAGGGTACGGTAGTTGTGACTGCAACACATGCAAAAGAGCCTATATAAACCTGTCCACTGTCAATATTAAAGCCTTGGCCGAATTTGGGTATAATGTTGTCTGATGTATGATCGAACCCAACTTCATTAGTTGTTTTTATTTTTTTTCAATTTTTGGGGGGTCACTCCACTTTCCGAGTTTATTTGCTCCGACTAATTTTGCAATTCCTTTACGTGGATAATGTTTATTTTTCAGTTCGATAGTAAAATAATGTCTTGCATTCAATCAATTCGACCTTGACGCATAACGCGGCTTTGTATTCGCACTACCTCGGTAAATCTCATAGCAGAATATATGATTCATGATGCCCACTTAATATTCCATATCCTATGATGCACCATGGTTCCAATTGAAAACCATCTTGAAATGCATCGAGGTTTCCATGAGGTGCATTTATATTATATAGACGTTTAGCTCGTTATATGATAAATGAGCAAAGAAAGTGAAGGATGTATTGTGAGCAATGGCCAAGACATTGTGCCAAACGGATCAAAATGACTGAAACGGAGTTTAACCCTAAGGAAACTGTCATACGCCATGCAATGTGTGTCTCTGTGTGTGTGTAGGGGGGGGGGATTATATGCACACCATCTCGATTTTTCGTCCCATCAGGATAACTAAAAGTTGTTCATTACCAGGCCCTCCTTCCTACACGATTACTCAATAAGCCAACAAGGTTTCAAATCATTAAAACTGAAATATTTCTAATTTTGATTAATAAATACCCGCATATATCAGTTGTGTCTTGAAGGAACAATTTTTGTACAGCTGACAGTGATCGCACATCAGAACGTATTTCCAGACCATTATCTGTATAACATTGGTCAATTTTGGAATTAAAGTCTCCACAAGAACTGGTATCAAATTGTCCATTAACAGCATAACCTGATAAGACAAAACATAAATTAATCTAAATCATTATTATTACATCAGTTTTAACCTGACATCCCAGGTCTAAATGTTAACCTTAAATGCGCAAATCCTGGTTTAGAATTAAAATGGCGAGACTAACAAACATAAGCACTCAAAATTTGCATCTCGGGGCAGACAGTAAATATCAACTTGTCATTTCCGGAAGCCGAATGAATATAAACCTGTGGCTAACGCTGATTAAACAAGCCAACAGTGAGGATGATGTCCCCCGCCGAAATACCGAAATAAAAAGATGACACATATTAATTAATCGCACATTTATTTTTTTCAAAAGTATCAAGCATTTAAACCATACATTAAGTTTCATCATTCTCTACCAGACAGAATCAAGATTATCTTGTCCCAAACCATCGACAAATGAAATCAATTAGCTCTGCTTAGCTAGCGTCAGCTCGAAATGTTTATCATTGAACTCAGTCAAGACATTCACCTAATGAACATCTACATCAAGTTTAAACATTCTCCTAATGAACATCTACATCAAGTTTAAACATTCACCTACGCCAAGTTTAAACATTCTACCTCAATTAGGAGAGTTATTGTGTTCCAAAGTCTCAACCAATCAAATTGCTTATCACTCTGCTTACCCTGAGCAGAAAATGCTCATAATCGAACTTAGTCAAGTTTCATCACTCTCACTTAATTAGAACTAAAGTTATCGTGCCCCAAAGCATCAACCAATCAAATTGCTTCCCCTAAGCAGAAAATGCTCATCTTCGAATTCCATCAAGACACTGACCTAATAAACACCTGCACCAAGTTTGACCATTCTAGGTAAATTATAAAGAGTTATTGTGTCCCAAAAAGTGTGACAGACAGACAGACGGACGAACCCATTTTAATAGTCCCCTGCTTTCTTCGAAAGGCCGGGGACAATAAAGTGAAAAGAGGGCCATAACTCTAACTCTAGACGTAATAAACAGAAATTCAAAGGGCTTCTTCGTTTCACTAATTTAAATAATGCATATAAATTTCACAAAGATTGGATGATAACTTTTGGCGTTCAACAAAATGAAACAAGGGCCGTAACCCTTGACGTAATAAACGGAAATTATTAAAATTAATTGGACTCCTTCATCTTACTAATGTAAACATATATCAATTTCAAAACAATTGGATCATAACTTTTGGCGTTGGGGCATGTACAAGAAATCGTGGACAATATACCTCCACATTTATACGTGGGCGTATAAAAATTGTGACCTTGACAGGGCCCACTAGCTAAAAATAATCTTTTGTACAATCAGGGGGCATAATCCATGAAATATTTATCCGATACATGCCAATATCGAAAGGTACCGGGACATAAACATATATTTCAAGTTTCATCAAAATAGGATAAAATGAACATTTTAACTCAATTCGAAGGAGAGTTATTGTGTTCCAAAGTCTCAGCAAATCAAATTGCTTATCGCTCTGCTTAATCTGAGCAGAAAATGCTCATTATCGATCTTAGTCAAGGTATTACTGTAATGAAACTATACACCAAGTTTCATCACTCTCACTTAATTAGAACTAAAGTTATAGTGTCCCAAAGCATCAACCAATCAAATTGTTTATCTACTTAATTAGAACTAAAGTTATAGTGTCCCAAAGCATCAACCAATCAAATTGTTTATCTCTGCTTACCCTAAGCGGAACGGACAGACAAACAGACAGACGGACGAACCCATTTTAATAGTTCCCTGCTTTCTTCGAAAGGCGGGGGACAATAAGCATGAACATTTACCCAATTCGAAGATCAACCAATCAAATTGTTTATCTCTGCTTACCATAAGCGGAACGGACAAACAGACAGACGGACGAACCCATTTTAATAGTTCCCTGCTTTCTTCGAAAGGCGGGGGACAATCAAAGTAGGAGAGTTATTGTTTTCCAAAGTCTCGACAATCAAAGTAGGAGAGTTATTGTTTTCCAAAGTCTCGACCAATCAAATTGCGTATCGCTCTGCTTACCCTGAGCAGAAAATGCTCATTATCAAACTTAGTCAAGGTATTACTGTAATGAAACTATACACCAAGTTTCATCAATCTCACTTAATTAGAACTAAAGTTATCGTGTCCCAAAGCATCAACCAATCAAATTGCTTATCTCTGCTTACCCTAAGCGGAAAATACTCATCTTCGAACTCCATCAAGGCATTGACCTAATCAACACATACACCAAGTTTGAACATTCTAGCTCAATTAGGAAGAGAGTTATCGTGCCCCAAAGTATCAACCAATCAAATTGCTTATCTCTGCTTACCCTAAGCGGAAAATGCTCATCTTCGAACTTCATCAAGGCATTGACCTAATAAACACATACACCAAGTTTGAACATTCTAGCTCAATTAAAAGTTATCGTGTCCCAAAGCATCAACCAATCAAATTGCTTATCTCTGCTTACCCTAAGCAGAAAATGCTCATCTTCGAACTCCATCAAGGCATTGACCTAATCAACACATACACCAAGTTTGAACATTCTAGCCCAATTAGGAAGAGAGTTATCGTGTCCCAAAGCATCAACCAATCAAATTGCTTATCTCTGCTTACCCTAAGCGGAAAATGCTCATCTTCGAACTCCATCAAGGCATTGACCTAATAAACACATACACCAAGTTTGAACATTCTAGCTCAATTAGGAAGAGAGTTATTGTGTCCCAAAAAGTGTGACGGACAGACAGACGGACAGACAGACAGACGGACGAACCCATTTTAATAGTCCCCTGCTTTCTTCGAAAGGCGGGGGACAATTAGAACATAAATTACTATAGATGGTTCACGAGAAGATGTATATTATGGACGAGTGAGACACTATTCGTTACATGTATGGGTATAGTAGAGGGATGAATCACAAAAAAAGAAATTTAAATATCATTATATGTTAAAAACCTGCATCCAGGTAATGTGTTATATTATGTTCAATCGCTAAATGTCATTCAAAGATTATATCAGACATCAGTATGGAGATGTGGCAGTTAAATTAATAAATCAGATAGGAAAATGTGAGGTGAAGTATGAGATGTAGATACAACCAAGTAATACCTAAAGGTTTAATTATCAAATCACCGGTTAATTCACCGGCTGCTACCAAAATCCTCTTGACTGCAAGCAAAAATCTGATCCGAGAACGAATCCAGCACCATCGGAATGAAAAACACCGTCTATTTAACAGATCTCAAAAACTAAGAGAACAAATCAAAAGCAAGTTATCCCACCGAGACTACACCTTGTTACATGAGATACAGACCAAACACAACAGCCAACTAGACATTAAGAAGAAACAAATTAAAAAATTTGAAAGTCCGAAACCCGTGCAATACCAAAAGACCAATAATAGCAAAACCAAGACTGAATACCTAACCAAAACCGTGATTAATTTAAGTGATAAAGCATTAACAGATGACCAGATCAATCTACAGTTTGTTCCGGATAACCAATGTGGAAGTTTTATATGGAAGGAGTAAAGTATTTAAAATATCGGTATAGTGAAATTATGATATGGTCATAACACAATTAACAATTACATATTTCCTTCATTCACAATCCTTCGGTGAAGTCGATGAAGTTATGAACTACAGGTAATGCTTCTTCAGAATTTTTGCAGGTATTCGGTTTCTGATAATCAATTTGGAGGATTTATATCAACTAATAAATCAGCATTAGTAAATATGGACAAGGACCAATATAAATAGGTACAATCTTATGATGGATCATGCAGAATTGGATCCTAACCTGTTAATAATTACAACCTGTAAATTATGTAGAGAAAAAAAATATTAAAAAGTGAGTGTGGCACCGCCCATTGGGGGGGGGGGGGAATCATGCCCCAAAATCAATAGTTATCGTCCTTAGGGTATAAGGAATAAGCATATTAAGTTCCAAGATGGTCCATTTTGAAATGCAGCCAGTATACGATATACACAAACTTTGGGTGTAACTCTGCCCCTGGGGGTCGGCACATGCAGCAAAATGAATAGTTGCCTTAGGCTATTAGGATTACATATGCCAAGTTACAAAAGACGATCCATTAAGACTTCTGGCCTGTAGACAGTCAAACAAAGAACAAATGAGCGTGGCTCTGTTCCTAGGGATCGGGCATTCACCCAAAACAAAGGGAATTGTTAAGAATTGCTACCTTTAGGCGACACACAGACACGCACAAAAATTGGGCGTGGGTTTACCTCAGGGGGTCAGGCATGCACCAAAAAGAAAAGAGGTCAACCTTAGGGTATAAGGAATAGGTGTAAAAAGTTTTCAACACGGATCCATTAAGAATTGCTGCCTGCAGGCGACACAAAGATACGCAAATAGAAAATGGACGTGGCTCTGTCCCTGGGAGTGCACCAAAAACAATATTAGTGATGCTTAGGTATATGGAAAAAGTATGGAAAGTTTCTAAATGACCCGTTTAGAACTGCGGCCTGTACACGACAAACAAATACAAAAAAAATCGGCGTGACTCTGACCCTGGGGATCATCCATAGAGTATAAGGTAAAGTATGCAAGGTTTCAAGACGATCAGTTAAGAATTGTGGCCTATAGGCGACATACACACAGGACACACACACACCAACACTGTATTTCCTCACTGAAGCAGAACTAAAGTATTAAACATGCATTATGCAAGAGCTAAATCTGATTATTGCAAGTCTTAATTTAGGCTTCAGATGTTATAGAAATTATAAATTAGATCTTTATTTAAACAACAAGACCAAAATCAACTCTGTAGACCCACGGATGGCTCGGCTACAGCTCGGATTTAAATAGGATTTCACTAATTGATCAAATAAGGGATAACCTGATGAAAATAAGTCAGTTAGATCGAGGCTAAATGAAAGAGTGTACTTAGCGAGGCCGCTGTAAAGCGTTTCGGTATGCCATTGAAAACTTTACTTGATAATCGAGATATGTAGGTGGAGTTAACGCCTGTCAATCAAACGATCAGCGAAGGTGAAGACACAATTCGCT